TGAGAAGTTGAATGGCATCACTGACTCAATGGACATGAGTCTGAGCAAACTCAGGGAGAAAGTGGACAGAGAAGTGTGCTGTGGTTCATGGGGTCGCAAAGAGTCAGACACAACTTGGCAACTAAAGAACAATATTAACAGTATTTAAAAGAGGGTGGTACTGGCATTCGGAGAGGCAGACAGATCAACTGAATAAATCTGAGTCTAGAAATCAATCTATACACCTATGGTGAATTTATTTTCATTAAGGAAGTCCAGACCATTCAATGGGAAAGAAGAGTTTTGACAACAAATTGCTCTAAGACAAATGTATATCCACATGCAAAAGTATGAATTTGGATCCTTATCTCATGTCATATATAAAAATTAACTCAAAATAGATCAAAGACCTAAATTTAAAAGCCAGAACTACAAAACTCTTAGAAGAAAATATACGTGTAAATCTCCAGAAACCTGGATTTGGCAATGGTTTCCTAGATATGACATCAAAGCATCAGCAACAACAACAAAAAAAAACTGGACTCAAATTAAAACTACTGATAAAATTTCTAACAATTAAATTTAAGGACTCCCCTGGTGGTCCAGGGGTTGGGAGTCTGTCTGCCAGGAGAGGGGACATGGGTTCGATCACTAGTTCAAGAGGATCCCCCATGCCATGGAGCAACCAGATCCATGCAACAAAACTACTGCCAAGTGTCACAACTACTGAAGCCTGTGTGCCTAGAGCTGATGCCCCATAAGAGAAACCACTATGAGAAGCCCACACACAACAAAGAGTAGTCCCCATCTGCCATAACCAGAGAAAGCGCACGAACAGCAACGAAGACCAAAAATGCATACAGCAGCCAAAAATAAAAATAAATTTTTTTAATTTTTTTAAATTTAAATTAAAATTCAAAACATTTGTACAAAGGACCCTGTCAAGAAAGTGAAGACAAAGTCCCAGAATGGGAGAAAATATTTGCAAATAATATATCTAGTAAAGATCCAGTGTCCAGAATATATAAGGAACTCTTACAATTCAACAATACAAAAGACCAAAAAAAAAAAAAGGACAACTTAATTCTTTTTTAATTTTTTAACTGAAGGATAATTGCTTTACAGAATTTTGTGATTTTCTGTCATACATCAACAATAATCAGCCACAGGTACATCCACGTCCCCTCCCTCTTGAACTTCCCTCCCATCTCCCCCCCACCCCACCCTTCAGCCTGTCACAGAGTCCCTGCTTGCCTTCCCTGGGTCACACAGCAAATTCCTACTGGCTATCTATTTTACGTGTGGTATCTTAAATTTCCATGTTACTCTCTCCATACACCTCATCCTCTCCCCCCTCCCCTCCCCCAATATCCACAGGTCTGTTTTCTCTGTCTGTTTCTCCATCGCTGCCCTGGAAATAAATTCATCAGTGCCACCTTGCTAGATTCTATATACAGGTGTCAGTATACGATATTTGTATTTCTCTTTCTGACTTACTTCACTCTGTATAATAGGTTCTAGGTTCATCCACCTCTTTAGAACTGACTCAGATGCACATGACCTAATTTTTTAAATCGGCAAAGGACTTAAATAGACATTTCTCCAAAGTACAAATTGCAAGTATGCACATGTAAAGATGTTCAACATGATTAGTCACTAGAAAAATGCAAATCAAAACCACAATGAGATACCACTTCACATCCACTAGTAAGGCTATTACCAAAATAGTTAAGGAGTGAAGTAATGGTCACAAAAAGACAAACACTGTATGATTCCACTTATATATGGTACCTATAGTAGTCAAATCCATAGAGACAGAAAGTAGAATGGTTAGGGGCTGAAAAGAGGTAGGGGAATGAGGAGTTTTTTAACGGGTATGGGCATGTGTGCTAAGTCACTTCAGTCGTGTCTGACTCTGCGATATTATGGACTGTAGCCCACCAGGCTCCTCTGTCCCTGGGGATTCCCCAGGCAAGAATACTGGAGTGGGTTGCCATGCTCTTCTCCAGAGGATCTTCCCAACCCAGGGATCAAACCTGGGTTTCTTAGGTCTCCTGCACTGGCAGACAGGTTCTTTACCACTAGTGCCACTTGGGAAGCCCTTATGAATATAGTTTCAGTTCTGCAAGATGAAGAGAGTTCTGGTTTTCCAATATGTACATTTACATAACACTACTGAACTGTACACTTAAAAATGGCAAAGAGGTAAATTTTATATTGTGTATTTTACTTCAATTAAAAATTTTAAATATTAAAAAAGACATAAGTATTACTGAGGGTATACAGAGATTGGATTTTTTTTCTTCCACACATTGCTGTTATGTAAAAATAGGGCAGTCACTTTGGAAAACAATTTGACAATGCCTCAAAAAGCTAAACACAGTTACCCTATTTCACTCCAAGGTGTGTGTACCCAAGAGAATGGAAAATATCACATAAAATCTCACAAGTAAATGCTCATGGCAGCATTATTCTTAATAGCAAAAAAAAAGTGAAAACAACTCAAATGTCCATCAACTGATGAATGCATAAATAAAATGTGGTATATCCATACAATGGAATATTATTTAGCCATGAAAGGAAATGAAGTACCAATACATGCTACATGAATGAACCCGGAAAACATGCTAAATGAAAGAAGTCAGACCAAAAAACCCATATATTGTATAATTCCATTTACATGAAATGTCCAGAATAGGCAAATATACAGGGACATAAAGTAGACAAGTGGTTTTCCAGGGCTGAGAGAGGGAGGGGTAAGGGTTTAGAGTCACTACTGACAGGTATGCAGTTTCTTTTGGAGTGATAAAAATTTATTAAATTGGATAGTGATGATGGCTGCACAGCTTCATGTATATACACAAAAAACACTGAATTATACACTTTAGTATATGTGAATTCTGTCTTAATAAAGAAATAAATATATGCTTGGTGACAGAAACCAAATATTTACATAGTCTCAAAGTATCTTCCTCAAAGTATTCAGTAATTACCAAGGGAAAAATATTAAGTTTACACTGGAAAATCCTGGCAGACACCACTTTAGCTAAATGATGAAGGTCAACATCACCAGTAAAATATCAACATCATGTACACTCTGATATGATACACTGAGGAGGGCACCTTCACTTCTGTGGTATCCTTCCCCAAAATGCAAAATCTTAATCTGATTAGGAGGAAATAGCAGATAAACCCAAACTGAGGGCTTCCCAGGTGGCTAAGTGGTAAAGAATCCACCACCAACGCAGAAGACTCGGGTTCAATCCCTGTGTCAAGAAGAGCCCCTGGAAAAGGAAATGGCAACCCACCCCAGTAATTCTTGCCTGGAAAATCCCATGGACAAAAGAGGCTGACAGGCTATAGTCCATGGGGTCACAAAGGGTCAGACACAACCTACTGACTTAACAACAACAAACACAAACTGAGGGACATTATACATCATTATATGTCTTTGATGTGACAAAAGCTATCCTTCATTTAGAAAGAAATAAGCTTATAAACTAAATACTGTTCCTAAAACATGGTACCATAAATTTTTACCCCCAAACGATAATTAACGAAAGGGAAGAGAAAAAAAGAATGAAATATTCTAAAAAAGATGTGAGATCTTTCAGCTTGTCATAAGAAAATGTATGCTAAGCATTTATGACTCTGTTTGACTATCTCCAGTACTATCTCATGTTCTAATTTCTGACCCTATTTGTTGCTGTTGTTTAGTTGCTAAACCATGTCTGACTCTTTCGAGACCCCATGGACTGTAACCCGCCAGGCTTCTCTGTCCAAGGGATTTCCCAGGCAAGAATACTGAAGTGGATTGCCATTTCCTTCTCCAGGGGATCTTCCTGACCCAGGTATTGAACCCGAGGGTCCTGCATTGGCAGACAGATTCTCTACCGCTGAGCCAAAGGGAGAAGCCCTATTTATTTTACATCAAAACAAAATCTGCTTTATATTAAGCCTCAAATACTCAGAATCTTAGAGTCTAAGAGGCAAAAGAGACAATCCAGTCCACTGGCTCTCAAAGTGCAGTCCTGGACCAGTCTCTAGGAAGTTATTTTAGACATTCAAATTCAACACCCACTCAAAACTTCTGAATCAGAAACAGGTGGTGAAGCCCTGCAACAGGGTTTTAACAAGCTCCCCAGGTAATTCCAATACAGGCTGAAGTTTGAGAACTACCAATTTTATCTAATTCCCTCATCATAGAAGTGACTTGCTTAAAGGTACAAGGTTTCTTAAGAGTGGCCATGCCTAAAACCTAGGCTTCCAACCCCCAGTCTAATGCATTTCTGACAGCCCACACTGTCCCACCACAGGTCCTAGTTCATTACAACACTGCCTCAATTATCCTATCTCCCTTTCCCTACCATCATTTTCTGTTCCAGTTCCATCTACTTCTTATCATGTGGTAGAGTCATAAAACTTGTCACTTTAAATGAAATACAACATTCCCGGTAGACAATAAGAGCCAAAAGAATTAGATGCTTAATTCTTAAACTGATTCGAACTATCATTTCAAACAGAATTAGTGTTTTTCATGTATCTTCTCTACTACACCGTTTGTCTCCTTTAGTAATTAAGGGAATTATTCAGCACATCAATGCAGTCAATTAATGGTGATTTTCCCACCTTAACATCGAGAGTTACTCAACTACTATATGTCCTTTACAAGTAAACCTCTTCTGGTATACTATGCATAAACATGTAAAGGCGAGCAAGACACGGTAAAGTAGGAGTAAACTCCAAAATAAGTGCAGCAAACTGAGAAAGAGAGAGAAGCAAAGTCAATCCTCTCCTTCACAAATGAAAACCAAGAGCCTCCCAAAGAAAGAAAAAAACAAGAGCCAAATAAACTCAAGGAAATTATCTATCGTACATTTAAAAAATAAAATTTCACTTAAATATAGATTAGATGGTAAAATAATTTGTTTGAGCTAAAGAGACCCTTGATAACCGTGGCTTAACAAAACTCCAAATTTTTAAACATGAAAATCTGAATAAGCTAGTAATTAGATTCTTACCAGGCCTGGTGTGGTGTCTTCATCACTGTCTCCTTCCTGGCTGCTTTCTGTATCAGCACTGAGAACCACTGTATCTGAAGGGCTCTTGTACTGCCATTTGTTGCTTTCAGCATGAACATCCAAGGATGATTTTTGCAGAGTGGATTCTTCCTTGGAAGATGTGGCTTCCATCTTTGGAGTTAAAATCCTTCTGCAACTTTCCTTTATTTCAGCTTTCTTAGATTTCTTACATGTCACTTCATTGTTAGAATTCTTATCTAATAGGGATTTGGGGCGCTTAAGTTGGCCTGTCTTGTAGCTACTGAGTGAAAAGGGGACCAGATACACCTTAGCTATTTTTCCTAAAACTGTAGTCTGTAGCGGTCTCAGAGATGTATCAGCGATGTTTTGGTTTTCCTTATATTCATTCACCTATTCAGGTCAATAAAGGAAAACAGTATTAAAATTCCAGGTCCTAAGCCTTTTCTTACTCTTTACAACCCCATAGACTACAAACCACCAGGCTCCTCAATCCATGGATTTCTCCAGGCAAGACCACTGGAGTGGGTTGCCATGCCCTCCTCCAGGGTTATCTTCCCACCCCAGGGATTGAACCCACTTCTCTTCTGTCTCCCGCATTCTCAGGTAGGTTCTTTGGCACTAGCACCACCTGGGAAGTCCCACAGATCTGTGTAAGTAGCTCTAACTCATATTTCATAATGACAACATAAATCCCAGCTGACAGCCTGTAAGGAAACTTTTTTCCCTCCAAAATCTAAATACCTAATTCATTTACTGGGCACATTTCTGAGCCATGAGTCCCCCAGACCAATAAAAAAAAAAAATGACTACAATTTGTAATTGAGAAAACTGAGTAACTGGAATTGTTCCAAGAGTGGGAAACTCACCACAACGACTGCAAAAACAAACGCACACTTCCTGACCCCAGCCTGACGCTGTTTCTGGGGTTACCGATAGACATCTTAATTGGGGCCAAGGGCCCAGTTTCCATAGAGGAGAACCAGGACAGGCATCCCCGCTTATCTTTTGAAGCAACACCCGGAAAAACCCAAGACCCGTTACACTGAGAGATGCCCCAAAGAGCGGGAAGTAGTTTTGCAGCGAGGAAGTGCCGGTTGGCAAGTCCTCCCCGGCCTATGCCAGGCATATCCCTCACGAAGAATGAGGCAGCAGCACACCCGAAAGGGACAAGCGGTTTCTCACATTCACCTGAAGTCGCTGTCTGGAGCCCCCCTTCTGCTCAGCTTCCGCGCGGGACCCAGACATCTTTCCGCAGCGTAGCTGCTGGCGCCTTCCCGCCAAGACGGCGGCGAGAGGCGGGGACTAGCGGAGGTGGGAGTCGCGAGGAGGAGCCCTGCGCCGGGGAGGCTCGGGCGGCGCTGACCCCGGCCGACAGCAGGGCGAAGGGGCACGGCGCATTACATTTTCGCCGAGGTACGCAAGCTTGCCAGCCTCACCCCAAACTCAAATTCTTTAGAGAAACGAAGGGACCGAATCGACATTTTTACCTTGGATCCCGGTGGTTTTTGACGCTGCTGATGCCTGTATCTTACTTTGAAAACCACTTGCGCTTCTCCTAAAGAAAAACCACCTCGCCTAGCAATGTGAGCCTGGAAAAGATTCAGGGGCACTTAGTTGCCAGATGAACTAGAGAAGAAATGAAATCAACCTGCCGGTTTTACCTCGACCCGATGGTTCCTTGTGATCCCCCCACCAGAAAATTATGCCCTATGGCTACCGTATTCTCTTCTTCCTAGGAAGGAAAGTATTTTGACCTTTTTTCCCCCCAAGAGCTGATAAGGTGGTTTAAAACTTCACCCACCAGTTAACTAAGATTCTAGTGATGACGTTACAAAGTCCAACAACAGGGGGAAAGTCTTAAATAATATGTGTATCACAAAGCACCATAAATAAGATTTTAGGACAGTGTATTTCTTATAGTCATTGTCATATTAAACGTTGTTTTGTTGTTGTTTTCTATTTTCTGGGTTGCCAAGAGCAGAAAGAATTGCCTTCCCATTAGATTTACTCCCTCGGGATAGCATAGTTTTGGAGCTGATATATTTACAATACAAATTTCTATCAACTCTACTTTTACAGTACTTTGTAGCTCAAAATTTGTGTCGTGCACTGTTCTTTGATTGAGAGTTGCCCAAATTTATTTCTCCCAGCTGAGCCACAATTGTAGAACAGGTGAAACCACTTGAGAAGTAATGCTACTAACAGTACCTTCAGGAAAGTTCCCTTCAGCAATTATTCACTCCCAGACTCAAAAATTACTGATAATAACAGAGCCTGATATATGCCATATTTCTGGACTTCAAGACTTTGCTCACACTGTCCCTTCTCTCCCTACACAGCAGTTATAAAATCTTTTCTACAGTGCATGTGTTCTACCAACTAGCCTTTTTTTTTTTAAACACGATCCACCTAGAAAATTGGGGTTATTTGTTCCTATTCTATAAACCCTTTAAGGCTTACAAAATAAAATTCAAGGACACGAGCCTTTTAACAATATTCCATACTCCTTAGAGAGATCTAAGTGACCTAAACACAAGTGCTTAATAATTACTTACGGACCCATATACAAACATTCCAGCCAGGAATATGTTGTAATAGGCAGTCTCAAGAAATGGACAGAACGGAAAGCTTTATAGTGTTCGGATTTCAGACATTATTCTAAGCCGCTTGGGGGATTTTTTTTTTTCTCTTGCCACTGGCCTAAATTACCACCACTTGCCGTCAAGTGACCAAAAAATACCTCACCACAATCCGCTCAGCCTCATCAACTGAGCTAATCAAGTGCTGTTAACGGGATTTCTACTCCGATTAAACGCTGAGCTTTCAAATTTGACAACCTGAACAAACTGCAATTCATTATCTCCTGAGTTTCATTATTCATCACTACCCTATAATACTCGGGTTCAGACCAACCTAACCAACAAAACCTTTACTTGAGACTTCCCTCGTCGCAGAGTCTTAACAGCAAATCCCAGTGGAACCAACTTCCCACACGGAAGACGAGTACAAACACTGCGATGCTACGAACGCCAGAGCAGCCTATGGACATGCGCAGTAACAGACTCCGCCTTCTAGTCGTAGGCGTCTAGAAGTCCTCCACAATCCCACAATCCTCTGGTCGCATACTTCCGGTTTTTCTAGCTCTGCCGTAGGTGGTGTTTCTATCAGTCGCGCAGCAATTTCCAGTGGTCCTAGGAGGAGAGCGTTTTGTCTTTTCGTTGACGTTGTAGCTGTTCACTTTGAAATCAGTCGAGTTTCGGGAGTCACCGCCACTGTCGTCAACATGTCGGTCCCAAGCTCACTCATGAAGCAACCGCCTATTCAGTCAACGGCTGGGGCCGTCCCGGTTCGCAATGAGAAAGGTACTGTGTTGAGCGATTTTCCAGTCCGATCTTACCTTTTCGCCAGCATATTCCAAACTTACCCCGGGCCCACCACCTTATCCCCAGCGATCCTTAAGACCCTGCCACTATTTCCTCGACTTTCCCCGTCAAGTTCGGGTCCGATCGTGGTGCTACTTTTAGAACTCATCTTATTAGTAGAACCTGTGTGCGCTCTCCACCAATAAGTTAAGCTAATACAGTGAATGCCTGCTATTTGCCTGGGGTTGTGTGGCATTTCATTGTCCATTATCTGATTATGGTGCTTTTATAACTCGTATCATTGTAATTACGTGTCCACCTCCGTCTACTACATCGTAAGTTAATAACCTACTTGAGGCAGGAACTCTATCTTAAAACTTTTTATCCCTTTCAGCCATCGCAGTGACTGTATTTGTTAAATTGAATACAAAATGGTGTAAAACTGTGGTGTAAGGAACTCATAATCTGTAGATGTGAGACATACAAAAAGAGGCACATTCTGAACAAGTTTGTGGTCTTTCCCACCTATAAAACCTGTCACATAGTTGATATAAACGAAATGCTTTGGGAGGACAGAGAAGGAGTAATCTCTTCAGATTGGAGTATTTGATCTTTAAAGGATGAGTAGGATTCTTATGAGTGCAGATGGATGAAGGAAAACTGTACTTGTTTGGGGAGTCAGACTGAAAGTCCTAGTTTTTTCAGTAAAGTATTTGGAAAATAATGTCAGTTCTTTTTATCTTTTAAATATACCATATCTATCTTTGTGTATTCTGCCTTTTGTTGTTGTTTTTTTTCTTAAATCAACATGACTTTGGAGAAGTGTCCTTTGGATACATGAAGATCTTATTCATTCATTTTAACTGCTTGTTGTTTAGTTGCTAAGTCCTGTCTGACTCTGGGACTCCATGGGACTGTAACTCACCAGTTTCCTCTGTCCTTGGGATTGCCCAGGCAAGATTACTGGAGCAGGTTGCCATTCCCTTCTCCAGGGGATCTTCCCTACACAGGGATAAAACCAATGTCTCCTTCATTGGCAGGTGGATTCTTAACCTCTGAGCCACCAGGGAAGCCCTTTAACTGCTTATAAGTTCCATTGTATAATTAAACCACAGTTTGATCCCTGTTGAGGGACACTTAGTTGTTGTTTTGTTACTTTTTTTCCTTTTACAAATAGTGCTTAAACATGTCTCTTTAGTGCACTTATGTAAAAATTTCTACTAGGGTAGTGTGAATCTATATTGACACATCATTTATCATTCAGTCAGGAGTTTACATTAAGATTCACTCTGATGTACATTCTATGGATTTGGACAAATGTACAGGGATATATATCCATCGTTATGGTATCACACAGTATTTTCACTTAGTAATATGCATTTAAGGTTCCTGCATGTATTTTCATGGCTTGATAGCTCTTTTTGTTTTGTTGTTGCTGAGTAATAGTCCATCATCTGGAAGTACCATAGTTTACTTATCCATTCACTGCGTGAAGGACACCTTGGTTGCTTACAAGTTTTGACAGTTATGAACAAAGCTACAATAAATATCCATGTTCAGGTTTTTATGTTTTGCTCCTTTGTATAAATACCAAAGAGCAGAAATTAGATCATATGCTAAGAGTATGCTTAGTTTTGTATGAAACTAGCTTCCAAAGTGGCTGTGCCATTTTGCACTCCCACCAGCAATAAATCAGGGTTCCTGTTGCTCCACATTCTTACCAGCATTTGGTATTGTCAGAGCTCTGGATTTTGGCCATTCTGTGTGTAGCAGCATCTCATTTTTTTTTTTTTAATTTGCATTCCCTGAAGACATATAAGGGCTTCCCAGGTGGCTCAGTGGTTTAAAAAAATACTGCGAATGAAGAAGACAAAGGTTTGATCCCTGGGTGAGGAAGATGCCCTGGAGGAGGAAATGGCAACTCACTCCAGTATTCTTGCCTGGAGAATCCCCATGGACAGAGGATCCTGGCGAGCTACAGTCCATGGGGTCGCAAAGAGTTGGACATGACTAAGCCACAGAGCATGCACGAAGACATAAAATGTGGACCATCTTTTCACATACTTATTTGCCATCTGTATATCTTCTTTGGCAAGGTGTCTGTTAAGGTCTTTTACCTCACCTTGTTCTTCAGAATTGTCTTGACTCTTTTTGACCTCCTGTTCTTCCATATGATTTTAGAATCAGCCTGGGGACAGCTTTTAATGAAATTACATTAAAATTACAGAGCACGCATTTATTGATTTACTTGGGCACAGTTGCCATCTTCTCATCTTTGAACGTGATACATTTCTTCATTTATTTTGATCTTTTATATCTTTAAAACAATTATATTTTATATTTTTCCTCCTATAGCCTCACACATCACTTGTTGAATTTATTCCTTAGTATCTTATAGATTAGTTGCTATTGTACATAGTATTTTTAAAGTGTATTTTCTAATTATATGTAGCCAATGTACAGGTACATTTATTTTTATCTAGCATTTATACACCTTTCTACTTGAATTTTTTAAGCTTCTCTGGTTATCTTGTATTTTCTACGTAAGTAATCATATTGGCTGCAAATTGTGGAAGTTTCTTCCTTTTTAATTCTTACCTTTTATCTCTTTCTTTTCTTATTGCCCTGAAACCATAATACAGTGTTGATTAGAAGGTATGATAGGGACAACCTGATGATGCCCACTGTTTTTTAAAGGAGTGCTTCTAATATTTTATCATTAAATATAATGTTTGCTATATCTATTGTTAAGATTGTGTGACTGTAAGTATATAAACTTTAAAAAGTACATTACTTTTTCCCCTGTTAATTTTCTAAGGTTAAGCCATCCTTGTAGTCCTGGGCTAAATCTTAATTATGTCCCTATAGCTTAGAGAGGCTTCTTGGTTAGTTTTTATGTTGCCTATATCTATGTAAGTGAAGTCCACCTAAAGTTTTCCCTTGAACTGTCCAGCTTGGTTATCCAGGTTGTATTCATCTTAGAAAATGTATTGGTTAGTTTTCAATGTTTTTCTGTTCATTGGATTGTAAAAGACAGATAATCTACTCTTGCAGGTTTGGTAGCACATAAGCTAAGAGAAAAGGTAGAAATAAACATTAGAAGATCGAGTTATGTGGTAATAGATTATATAGAGACTGCCAGAGAAATATCTTGAGGAACTAAAAAAATGACTGAACACCATTTCAATCTTATATTCCCACTTAGGTCACCCTTACTGTGTGCTGGGCACTGTTACAAATAATTCACTTAAGCATATAGTTAAGGTGGATGTAGTCTCCCTATTAGGAAGGACTTTGTATTGTTTCACTGCCCACCCTTCCTCCACTCACTGTACCCAAGCTAAACCTCAGTATCATTAGCGTTGGTGTTCACAGGAACGCCTTCTCATGACTTGGCCTTTGTAGGAAAAAGATGTAGTTGAATAGATGGTTGGGTCAGGGCTCCTTCTCCTGCTTGGACTTGGTTTGCCAGGAATACGGGGCTTTGTTACCTGGAAAGGCCAAGGGTTGAAGGACATTGGGAAAGAGGTTACTGAAACGTAAGTTCTGTCTCTTATCCAGGTGAGATTTCGATGGAAAAAGTGAAGGTAAAACGTTATGTGTCGGGAAAGAGGCCAGACTATGCTCCTATGGAGTCCTCAGATGAGGAGGATGAAGAGTTTCAATTCATTAAGAAAGCCAAAGAACAAGAAGCAGAGCCCGAGGAACAGGAGGAGGATTCATCTAGTGACCCTCGGCTGCGGCGTTTGCAGAACCGTATTAGTGAAGACGTGGAGGAGAGGTAATGACGAGGGCTGTGTTACCCTGGAGCAAACCCAGCAACAATCGCTGATACTTGAACAGTACTTACTGTGTGCCAGGCGCTGTCCCCGGTACATTACTTTACTAACTGTTGTAATCCACAGAGTGATTTATGAGGGCATGACTATCCCCGCTTTCACCAGTCAGGAAACTGAAGCAGAGTGGGGTGTGGAAAATGACTCACTAAGGGGACTGAAAGCACAGACCGCTGGTTGGTTTGTTGAGGGGTCTTTTTAGCACAGAGATGTTTTCTAAAATTTGAGAAATTGATCTTTTCCAGGTAATTATTCTAAAAGCTAATGAGGAGAAATGATACCAATGAAGTAGGAGAAAAGGACTGATGAGTGGTCTCATATCAGAAAAGGACCCCTCACAACAAGGGATTTTGTGTATTTTGTATTGACTGAGACATTACCTTACAGAGTAGCCAGAGGTTCCCAACTTTCACAGTTCACATTGTCTCAGGAGTTTTTTCACAGAACCTGTGGGCCCAAACAGTTCTTTTTATTTTATTAAGTAGTTAGAGCCAAATGATTTAATAAATATTTATATCCTAGCAACTTAGGTACTTGAAAACTTTAATACCTATAAGAGAAAAAAGATTTTTATTTCATTTTTATATAACCACAGTTACTTACTACTGGGGTTTGTGTGCCTCTTGGGCACTGACAACTTCTCAAACCTCAGAGTCACATTGACACTGTCACCCATTTCCAGTTCTATATTGACTTTCATGCATAACTTGCTTTTTATCACAGCAGCCCCCCAAAAAAAAACAATTTTAGAAAGATACGATACCACTGAAAGGAAACATAATGTGATCTGCTATTGAAAGTCAACTACTTTGAGCTTTACAGTATATCCCAGGGCACCCATCTAAGCTTGGTCCAGTGCCCCAGGGTGCCTCAGCATACATGTAATGTTTTAGGTCCAACTTGACTGTTTCTTTTGACACTGAGTTAGTTTCTTTAATCTGCCCCTCAGTTTCCTAATCTCGAGGCTTCAGTACTAGTAAAAGGAAATGTCACATCCTGGTGCTCTGTGACTAAGGGAGGTTGTTTTTGTGAGGCTGGTATTACAGTCGGACACTGTCTTTCAGGTTGGCTCGACACCGGAAAATAGTGGAACCTGAAGTGGTTGGAGAAAGTGACTCCGAAGTAGAAGGAGATCCTTGGCGCATGGAACGAGAAGATAGCAGTGAAGAAGAGGAAGAAGAGATTGATGAAGAGGTATGATTAAGGAAAGTGGGAAGTTCTTTCTGGGTGGAAGAAGAAATTAGGGCCAGTGCTCCTTTGTTGAGCCCTTAGAAGCATAAGATAATCTGCTTTTGGCAGAAGTGAGATCCAGTGTTCCCTTCTTGTTTTGGATAGGATTGAAATAGAGTGGTACTAAGTTGCATTTACTCAACCAGAATTTGTTGAGCTTGATGAGGTAAGAATAAAAAGAGCACAGGCCGTTTGGCTGACTGGCTTGGACATGTAACTTGATAGGAGATAGAGCGGCGCCGTGGCATGATGCGCCAAAGAGCACAGGAGAGAAAAAATGAAGAGCTGGAAGTCATGGAGGTGGAAGACGAGGGACGTTCTGGGGAGGAGTCCGAATCAGAGTCTGAGTATGAGGAGTACACAGACAGTGAGGATGAGATGGAGCCTCGCCTTAAGCCAGTCTTCATTCGGAAGTAAGTATTTCACAGACCTGGCCTGAACCCACATAATTACTGCTTTCTGGGTCTGAAGAGGGAAGCCTCTTTTCTCGCTCATGCTCTTCTGAAATGCAGGCACTAAGTGAAGTCTTCTGCCCGGTGCCCCAGCTCAGCAGAGTGTTTGCTGAGGAGTGGCTTGGTGCTGGGCTTCCCAAGTGGCTCAGTGGGTGAAGAACCCACCTGCCAATGCAGGAGACATGAGTTCAATCCCTGGGTTGGGAAGATCCCATGGAGGAGGGCATGGCAACCCACTCCAGTATTCTTGCCTGAAGAATCCCATGGACAGAGGAGCCTGGTGGGCTACAGTCCATAGGGTCACAAGGAGTCAGACACGAGTGAAGCGACTGAGCACACGCGCATCTTGGTGATGGTCTGAGTTAGTTTTCACATCTCCTTTTCCACTTAAAGAAAACATACCTGCCAAGGTCTTATATTATTTTAAATACAAAATCAAGCTTAAGAGCAAATTCCTATTCCTTTCCTAATGGCTAGAAATCCTGCAGTCCAGCAGGTTTCTTGATATTCAGGCAGTTCAAAGATGATGGGATTTTAATGTTCTAAAGACCAGAAATGATTCCCACTTTTAGCTCTTTGCAAATAATAAAGCCAGAAACCATTTGGCTTTGTCTGCTTTGAATGCGACTTGATTAAGGGAACAAAGAGCCCCACTCTAAGGACTTTGGGCAATTAACAGGACCTCTGTGCTGCAGGAAGGACCGGGTGACGGTTCAAGAACGTGAGGCTGAAGCATTGAAACAGAAGGAGCTGGAACAGGAGGCCAAACACATGGCTGAGGAGAGACGCAAGTACACACTCAAGGTGCTGGGCGTGGCTGTGAGGATTGAGTGTGAGGAGTTGTGCGTTTCGGTCTGTCTGAGGGAGAATAAGGAAGTCCAACCGTTGAATTGTTCTCCCTACCCAGATTGTAGAGGAGGAAACCAAGAAAGAGCTGGAGGAGAACAAGCGGTCTCTGGCTGCCCTGGATGCACTCAACACTGATGATGAAAATGATGAGGAGGAATATGAGGCCTGGAAAGTTCGGGAATTAAAGAGAATCAAGAGGGACAGAGAAGACAGAGAAGCGTGAGTAATGGGATGAGCTTAGAGCTTAATACTGCTGGGCGCTCATGTTCCTAGTAGGGTAGCTCTCAGGCTCCACACCTACTGTGAGTTCCATTCTAGCTTTCTTCAGGGTTCCTACAGCTAGGTGTGTTCCCCATAACTGGAATGTGGCTTCTTATAGTAAAATCAGGGAAGAGAAACACATTTTGTCAGTGTTTCTCCACGATAAAAGTGCAGCTGATACTCCCTTTAGTAGTTTCCTGGTAGACACAAACTAGTTACTAGCTTTAATCAGTTTTCTGTTGTTGCATAACAACCCAACCCAAAAGTATGTGACTTAAAACAATTATTTCTCACAATTTTGGGAGCAGTTCCTCTACCATACTCACTGTTAGAGCAAAATCATCTTGGAGCTGCACCACCCATTCCTAAAAACTACTAGGAATGCTTTTTTTTTTTCTGAAGAAAAGGGACCTATGACTCTGCACCTCCCAAAAAAGGTTAAAACTGCTGCAATCTAGTTAATGATGGTAACCTTTGGTTTGTGACATGTAAGCACATTACTAAAGAAATACGAGTCAAGTCTTATACAGAATTAAATTCTGATTTTTTTTTTTAAAACAAAGGTGGCTCTTCAGGGAAGGGACATTCGTCATGTTATAAAATCAAGCAGCAGTAGTATGTCTGAACCTCAAAAAGACTAGAATCAACTTTCCGACGTTTGCAGTACCTGGTCTCCGTGCATAATGAAGACTACCTGACCTTTTTATTTATTAAACTTCCGATCTTAATTCCTAACCGTAACCAGAATTAATGAAGATAGCTAATGCTTGAAAGGAGGTGGGACTGTGTCATATTTAGATAAGTGGGTCTTTCTGAAACTAAAATGAAATAAATAGTTTTCATTCTCTGAACAGACTTGAGAAGGAGAAAGCAGAAATTGAACGAATGAGAAACCTAACTGAGGAAGAGAGGCGAGCTGAGCTTCGGGCAAATGGCAAAGTCATCACCAACAAAGCCGTTAAGGGCAAATACAAGTTCCTACAGAAGTATTATCACCGGGGTGCCTTCTTCATGGTAAGAAGTGAGAAGAGACTGGAATAACCCCCCATTTTCCTACCAGTGGTCAACTTTCTCATTTGCTTTTTGCCTGTGAAGAATATAAAACCAAATAGAGGAAAGCATTGGCAGCAGGATTTCAGAAATGGCAACAACTATTGTCATTTGGCCCCAGCTCTCAGGAGGAAATGATGTAACAGCAGAATTGAGGAACTGAAAGAGACAGTGATCTAGACTAGACTATTTAGGTCCCCCAAATCACTTAGATATCATTTTTCATAGCTGAGAAATTTTGGTTATGAGAAAACCAAGCTCGGTAAAGACCTTTAGATTAACTCATGTTTGAGTGGTTTAATTCACTTCATTCTCAGTGGACAGAAAGTGACTAAATCTGACCCGAAAGTTGTTAATTATCTAACCATTATTTGTAATGCCATGATCTTTATTCTTTATATAAAAACCAAAGTCAAAACAGCAGTCTGTTAACCCTGTATAAAATGAAAAGGACTGCTTCCAAATTATCTGGATTAGCACTAGTGATAATTCCTTAATAGAGAGATAGCAGGAAAGGAAATGGGAGAATTGATGACATTTATTACTCCAGTGGCATGTGGTTTGTTGATATTAAAGAAGTTTGTATCAAAAAGTAATCTAGCTTTTACAGATGCTGTTTAGCAAACCTTAAGTATCTCCACCGCAGCTAAATTCCTGCCTTTTGCTGTAGATACCAGTAAAATTTTAAAACTTTTAAAAAATAAGGAGGATTCCTTCTTCTTCTCCCACCGAAATCAGTCTATCTAGTCAGCAGGAAATGTTTGCTTATTATGCAGTTTTCCAGCCCACATAGCTTTCTAGATAGGAGTCAGTGGAGATTATTAATTACTTCTTAGATTGCTTCAAAGTCATAAAATATCATTGTTTAGCATTTCAACAGTTTTAATAATCAAGCTCCTCAGAGAATCAGTGCATTCCTGACTAAGATACATAAGGGAAGGTTCATGTGAAAGTCTTTTGGTGCACATACTCAAATGTCAACTCTTCTCATCTAGACAAGGAAGGTGAAGTGGAAATGGCTTCTGAGATTAAATGAGGGACTCTTAGGCTCTAACAAGGAGAAAAGTTGGTCTCATGAAAGGCCTACCTTTAAATTGGGTCTTTCAAGAGATGATGGGAACAGAGTATCCCAAAACTGCTTGGTTAAAAGATTCAGCCCTTCTGTGAAATTTTCCTTAAGATGATACTGTTTTAATTCTTTCAGTACATATGTTTATGGTCTGTATCACAACATTATAGTTGTATTTATATGTTGATTTGAAACTACTCTATAGTTGTTTTATACAGTTCATTAGATAAACCTTTTGAGCATTTAGTGTATGAACGGTAGTACTGTTTAACACAGCCATAGCTCCTTGCCCTCAGAAGGCTTACAATCTAATAATAGAGCTAAGGCAAATAGATACTGTAACATAAGAAAGAGTGAACGTACTAAAGGACTTCTGAAGAGAGAGGTGTTGTACTTGGTAGGATTGAAAAGGATATCAAGGAGATGACATGTAAGATGTATAGACTTTCTAACATTTGGTGGTAGGAAGAAAGGAACCAGAAGAAATGGAGGCAGAAAGTATCATCTGTAAAGGCAAGGAGTACATTAAGGCTATGTAGCATTTGGCCTTGACTAGTACACAGAGGAATTATGCTTCTTTAGTAAAAGAGAGAACCTCTGAAAGCTTTTGAGCAGGACAAAGGTATTATGAGGGTTGTGTTTTAGGAAACACATTAATCTAATGAAATGTGTAAAGTTGACTGTAGGCAAAAAGTGTTAATAACCCAAGTAATGAGAATTTAGAGAGAATGTTGGTCCTATTACAGAAGTTAAGTCAGGAAAAGGCTGATTTGGAAAATTTCAGGGATGTGGTTTTCACTTTAGTTGTGAGTTTGAAATCCCAACAGAATACCTAAGATATATATTGGGCAGGAGAAGAATCAGGATTGGAGATTTGAGAGGCCTGTATAAAGGTGAAATCATGTGAGTGAATGAACATATTGAGTGAAAAGAATATAGCCAACCTTCAAGAATTAGCTACATTTAAGGAGGAGAAAGACAACACAAAGGAAAAAAGGAGTATCATCTCCTCAACTTGATGTAAGCTTTTGGTTCAGTAGGTTCAATGCCCTCTGGTTTCTTTTTATCCTTTGTTGTAAAATTTAATGAATTTGTAGTTTGAGGGACTTCCCCTGATAGTCCAGTGGTTACAGCTCTTCGCTTAAACTGCAGGGTGGGGTGTGGGTTTAATCCCTGGTCAGGGAACTAAACTCCCATATGCTGCACAGTGCAGCCCAGATAAATAAATAAAAATAATTTTAAATGGTTTGAAAAATGAGATATACATAAGAAATAAAACCACAAGATTGATAAGACTCTTTTTTACAGGATGAGGATGAAGAAGTATACAAGAGAGATTTCAGTGCACCTACCCTGGAGGATCATTTCAACAAAACCATTCTTCCCAAAGTCATGCAGGTATGGGGAACCTTAATGACATGAGAGAAAAGTAACGTACTGAGGCTGGACCATGATAAATCTGGTGGTATAACTCATCATCTATCCATACAGGTCAAGAACTTTGGACGCTCTGGTCGTACCAAATACACCCACCTCGTGGATCAAGACACCACCTCCTTTGACTCAGCATGGGGCCAAGAGAGTGCCCAAAATACAAAGTTCTTTAAACAAAAGGCAGCCGGGGTACGAGATGTATTTGAACGACCATCTGCCAAGAAGCGGAAAACTACTTAGAGTTCAACTACTTGTTCTTCCAGCTGTGGGACACAAGGGGAAATCTCAGCATCTGGTCCTTGATTTGTTTTTACTACTATTCACATGGCCCCTGTATCCAGCCTGCTGAACCTATTGCCATACTTGTGGCACTGGGCAAACCCAGTCTTTGAAAGTGCTTTGTGAGGTTTGGACTCATGCTGAGAAGCCCGAAAAAAAGCACTGTCCAGGTAGGATTAGAGGCTCCCACTTAGAGGACTATTTCTGAGAAATCTTGAATGTCATTACTGCTCTGGCTTCCCATATTCACTTGGGACTGTTCCAAGTTTCTTTTTCCAGCTGAGCTTGGGTTAGAAACATGGATGGGCATGTAAGTGGACAATGTATTATTTCTACCCTACAGGAAGTCTAAAGTCATTGAAAACCTGTTTTGCATTTTTGGGTAAATTTTTCTAGGCAAACATACTTTTTGATCCATTTATGTGCAAGTGTCAAGAAATAAAAAAATCATACACCAAGAGGTTTTTTAGCATATCAGAAATAAAATGTGTAAGCTGACAAATAGCTACCTATTAACTAAGATAAAAGACAGCAGGGAATTGCCAGGCAAAGGATGTTTCACATTTTAATCATACCCTTTCATCTCAGGAACAAGCACAGATGCTAGACAAGCTATATTGTAAATGGCACCTAGAATTACCCCATGAGCAAGTATGTGATTGTCATTGCTGTCTAAATTGTAGCTGTATATAGAACAAAACAGGACACACAAAACACGGAATCCAAGCAGCTCACCAGTATCTGCTTGCCCGGCTCATGTTCCAAGGAGGGCACAGTGCTCTTGAGCTGCAATGTAGTGACAGCATCCTGGATATCACTGGCAGAGTTAAATTTTTCATTTAGTATGTACTACATAACCACCCTGCATACAGCAGAATATTAGGAGGCCTAGGGGTTATAAAGAATGACATATAACCAGTGGGAAGACTTCCATCTCTATATTGCATTCAAAAATGAGAAGGGCATGGTCTTTTCACAATCTTTAAATACCCCACTAGCAGAATCATTCATAAATCCTTAAATGTCCTAGGATAAAAATATGACTGCAAATAATTACTATGAAGTAATAAACACCAAGATGTATATAAGTCACATGTATGTGCCAGGAGATACAATCTAAGAATTATCCTAGAGCCAAAATAAAAGAAAGAGCTACTTGTACCTGCTCATCACTTCTTAAAACAATCTATCAGATATGTATCATTTTACAGCTGAAGAAACAGAAGTTTAGCAAGGGTGACTTGGCCAAACTTGATCAACTTTTAAACTGCTTTCTCTCTAGGTTAGAAGATGGAATCTTAAGGTCTAAGTGCTGTGGTTCAGAATTAAACTAGTAATTAAATGAAAGTCTTTTCATAAGTTAATTCTAAGACATAACCTTTGATAATTTCTTACTGTAGTTACCTGTTCCCACCTCAGGACCTGAACTGGAACTCACAGTGGCTTATGGACTGGCTTGGTGACTTATCTCTATGCAGTGGCTCCTAGACAGGTGCTGGCCTTTCAGCTGTTGATGAGCTACCCTAGAGACACATGCCATGGGGTAAACTTTACTGAGCCGCTAAGTGCACTTTGAATATTGCCGAGAATTAGTCATATGAATGAGCCTGGTCTGCTACCTAACATCTGAACCTGAGGTACTCTTCTACACTAATCCTCAACATAGGTTCATTAAGGCTTATACTCCAAGATGTAAACTTACCACAACAAAAGATGATATTATACTTGGTCCAAAATGATAAAACTGCAACTTAAAAAAAAAAGACATCTTTATTGAAATAAGTTAATCCAGTGGGTCTGAGAAAACCCAAATCAGTTGGTTAGGGCAATAAGAGCTTCCACCACGTTGCCCATGTGTTCCCTCAAGCTCCGTTCTGCTGCTGCTCGGGAGATCTCCATCTCTGTCATCTGCAGGAAAAGGATCAATGATTTTACCGAAGTCTCCTCCTGGGCAATAAGGTGCCAGCAAAACGTGAGGACTCCACTTGTTTGAGCAAACAAAAGACATATTCCCCACCCACATAATAGTTACGCATTACTACTCACTATCAGCTCCAGATCTTCCTTCTTGATGGTGACTTTTGCCAGTTCCTTCTCCCTGAAAATATTCAGGTACTTTAGTCCTCATTTTCTACCTCCACCATAAACTCCCAGAAAGGATCATTCCCAGTTGTGCCTTACAAATAAATGACTTGATAAACACTGTTGACTGAAAATACGAAAGGACTCCCGCTCCCTCGCCTAACATCCCATCCCACCCCATCCCCTGGAATATTTGTAGCAGGCAGGTGTAGCCAGGAGGTCTTTCCTTCCACCAACAAAACAGTAAAGTCGTAAATCTTAGGTCTGCAGAAATTGGTGATAGAGCTGAAGAACAGTACTAAGTACAAAAGCCTAACGATGGCTTTTTTTCTGAGTGGGGCGGGTAGGTAATAAGACTTACCGCTCCTGTTTGGCTTTCTGCTCCCGGGACCGTCTATCTCCAATCACGGACATAGCCTATAGGACAGACAGATCTAGTTACTGCTCTGCTACTCACAATTCCTAACAATCTAAAATACCAGTAACAAACGAGTGAGGTGTGGATTCATAATGACGAGCGAACCAGGAACCCGGGTCTACGTTTAGTTCAATTCTGCGCACATGAGACCCATTTTAAACCCCATGTCCATCAAGCTCCTTTTCTCAAGCGGAGGGGCCCAGTGACGGGTCAGTTTCCCTCTCGCCTCCTCCCACCAGCTGGATGCGGGCCCCTCCTGGAACCAGGCTTGCCATTTCGGCCTCCGAGCCCCGTCTGCTCTCAGCCCGCCCAGACACGCTGCCCGGCCAACCTCACCGTCTCCAGATTTGAACTCTGTATCTCCTTCTCTTCCGCATAGTCGGTGACTCGCTCCAGGTCCGCCGCACCACTGTCATGCTTCCGTGGCTTCTCCGGAGGCCGCTCCGGACCGCTCGTCTCTGTCTCCAACTCCAACTCCACGTCCCCCTCCGTCGCCATATCGATCCCAACGCACCGCCCCACAGGCCCGCCTTAGAACGACTTCCGGCAACTACTCGCAACTTCCGCCGGGATGGGGGGCGGAGCTGGCCCTGGGCCACACCTTCTTTAGTGCGCTGGTTCTAGAAGCTTCAGCAAGCAAAGCAGTTCGGCTCTCGGGCTTTCTTTCGGGCTTGTACAGTGTTTTATGCCAGGCCGTGTCCCAGACCTAACCCGTCACCACTGCAGACCATCCCAGCCTTTCTTAAACTAGGTCCAGCCCACACACCCCAAGGAACTCTGTTCAAGATGAATGACGTCTAATCCTAAACCAATTAAGAATGCTAATCTACAGACCAGATAGGCAAACTGTTCCCTAATCTGGGGAGAACAGCTTGAGTAGCCCAAGGCCCCTGGGAAGAAAGTAGTTTCACAGGGTATCTGCATTTTCCACGACCGGGGGATCGGTGTTCTTTTCCTGGTATCCCTCCCCATTCTGCCTTAAACTGGGTGAACAGCCCGGGATAGCAGGAGTCCAATGGGCTGAGGACGAAAGAAAGCTTCTACTTTCTCATCTGCCTTCCATCTGGTGGACCTGGGCCTAATCCCTGGTATAAGGATGGTGGGTGCAAAAGCGGTCACAAGTCCCAACACCTCCCTCCGCCTGGCACCGCAACGCAGGGGAGTCAACAGTGTCATAGTGAGTCCTCCCTTCTACCAGGTGAGAGGGTACGTGGGCAGAGAACTCCCTGGAGCAAGAGCTGTCTGAAAAGGGGAAGGGAATGGTGGCTGAAGCTGTGGAGGAAAACCCACGGGAGCTGGTAAACATGGCAGACTTGCCATTTGCTGCTGAGGCCTTCTGCTTCTTTGGATCTAAGACTACTTATCATTAAACCTCTCCTCCTATTTTCCTGGTACCAGATGTCTAGGTCCTGGGAAAGATTAGCGGTCAGATGTGACAGGCTCTTAGGAAGTTCTGCCAGTTATGTTAATCTCTTATGATGAAAGCTCTACCTGAGGTCAGTGGAAAGCAATCCTAAACAGCTTGGAACCAGACAGTCTGAGAATTCCTAAATGAGAGGAGAGAGGGGAGGGGGATATTTAGGAGTTCAGCCTCATGGGTTTACCTCGCAAATGTATTAATGTAAGCCTATCCTCAGCAAATCTCTGCCTTGCTGCCTTGCATCCGCTCTGCCCTCAGGTGTCCTGCTGCGGGCCTGCTCCCTGTACCTGCTGCTGCCCTTCTAGGTGGCCCGCTCTCACAGAGTCTCCCTGCAGCCGCCTGTTCTACATCCTCCTCCATGTGGGCACCTCAGCAGTCTGCTGCCTCCTGCTGTCAAGGACAGTGATGGAAAGAGTCTGGGGCAAGGCACATGGGGTACGTGGGAGGAGGCTGGGCTGCAGTGGGAAAGGATAACAGGAGAAAGTCTGAGGTAAACGAGATTTGGCTTGAGGGTAGGGGACACATGAGTGGACGTACCCACGAGTAGGTACTTCTCTGTGCATGACTTGTCCAGCCATTTCTCACATGTACCTCCCCTCCAGATCCAGATGCCCTCAGGGCTGTGTGCCCATCTGTTTGGCCTCTCTCACTGCCCAGTGCTTAGCGGCTCTGGGGCTGTATACCGAGTATGTGCAGGAACTGCCACCTTCCACCTGCTGCAGGCTGTGCTGCTGATCGACCTCCACTCCCGCACGAGCCTAAGAGCACAGCTACACAATAGGTCTGTGTGTACTCTGGGTGGGGAGAGGACAGGGAGGGAAGTAGACACAAGCTGAGTAAAGGAAATTTCCAGATGAAGGCACAGCACTGTAAAAAGACAGAGAACAGGTTTAAGTCCCTGCTTCCACTATACTTGCTGTATAACCACAAGAAACACACTTACCCTCTTTGATCTTCTAGTTTTCTGAAATGGAGATAACAGTGGAGTTACTATATGCAAACCCTCTGTCATCTCTAAAACACTGTCCAGATGTTACTTAGGTGTCAGAGTTTGGAACAGGCTGTGATCAGCCTGTCCCCAGCCCCTCCCACATGGGACTGGCTCCTCCCCTCCTCTACTTAGTTGCCTCGCTTCTCCCCTTTCCTATATTTCTGCTTTCTCCTTTGCCTATTCTGAGACATTTTCTTTGCTTCTTAACCAGTTTCTGGCTCCTCAAGCTGCTATTCCTGCTAGGTCTCTGTGCTGTTGCCTTCTGCATCCCTGATGATCATCTCTTTCCAGGTATGTTCTATTTCATCCTGATCAGCAGGTGTAAGCTAAAAGATTTTCTAAGAAAAAAATCCTCCCTTGCAGTCCAGATGCTTCCAATCCAAGGGATGTGGGTTTGATCCCTGTTTGAGGAACTAAGAACCCACAAGCCTCGAGGCACAGCCAAAAACAATAGGGTAGGAAGAGGACCAGGAGTAATGATATGATCAGTAACATTTTTCTACTGGTGCCTCACCTGCAGCCTGGCATTACATTGGCATATGTGGCGGCTTCACATTCATCCTGCTGCAGCTGGTGCTTATTACTGCCTTTGCTCATTCCTGGAACAAGAACTGGTAAGGAGCACATAACCCTGAAGGCTCCCTGGGAAATCTGACATTACTAGACCCAGTCAGCTTGGGCATCAGCTTGATGATCCCAAAGCTTCCAATTAAGCAATATGGAAAAACTCAGGAATATGATGGCTCTAGGCCAGGTGGGATAGACAAGTCTCACCAATCTTCTGGGAGAGGGGGAATAGCTAATAATTGGTAAAAGCAAGAGTTGGGAGCCCCAAGCCACTGCCCACCTCCCACTCTTAGGCAAACAGGTGCAGCCCAAGACTGTCGCTGGCTCCTCGCTGTGCTGCTGACCACCCTAGGATTCTACAGCATGGCAGGTGCAGCAGCCGTGCTCCTGTTCCAACACTACACGCACCCAGCTGGCTGCCTGCTCAACAAGATGCTGCTTAGTCTGCACCTTTGTTTCTGTGGCCTCCTCTCCTTCCTCTCCATCGCTCCCTGCATCCGCCTCAGTAGGTACATGCCTTACAGCATTAAAGATTTGGGGGGCCTTTAGTATAGCAAATTCCACTGTACTCAGTCACTTCAGTCATCTCTCTATAAACCCCTTTGCAACTCTATGGACCACAGCCCACCAGGCTCCTCTGTCCATGAGCTTTTCCCATGGCAGATTTATCATGGAGCCACCAGGGAAGCCCAGATAGCAAATTTCATTTGCCTCCCTAATCTCAACCAATTCTCTGCTTCCTCCAAAGGGTGGGGAGACAGAAGCACAGGTGAGGGTAGGAGTGAAGGAAATTAGTATCCAGTAGGCTAATGCAATGATTTCCCTTCTCCCCAGAGCAACCTCGCTCTGGCCTTCTACAAGCCTCTATCATCAGCTGCTATATCATGTACCTGACATTCTCTGCGCTGTCCAGCCGTCCTCCAGAGAGTGGTAAGGAAAGGACCTGGATTCTTAACAAGGTTTACCCATGCTAAAACCTTTTTCGCTCCTGCCAAATACCTAGCTCTTTGTTCTCATCATCTTTCTCTTCTGTTGCCTTGCCCTTTCTCAGTAATCCTTCAAGGACAGAATCACACTCTGTGCCTGCCTGGCCTGAGTAAAATGGAATCCCACACACCAGATACTTCTCTGGCAATGATGAGTGCTGGCATCATGTATGCTTGCGTGCTTTTTGCTTGGTGCGTAAAAGTGTCAAGGGAAAGGTGTGAGAAGGGAGGATGCTCACAAGGACAGGGATGGTTAGGAGATAGTCTGGGGCCATGGTTTATTTAAACTTTAAAGGAAGGTAAGAGGAAAGCTCCCCATAAACAAAAACAATTTCTAAGAATAGCACCCGTCAGATGATCTGTATGAGATGAAGGGGACAGGGGAAATGACTTGAGAAACTAAAAGCACAAAAGATTTCAGGGCCCCACATGAAAAACTTTCAAAATTTTGGGGGGAAAGGGGCTTTGGGAGATCACTACCCTCCTAAGTTACTAACAGGGACCAGCTGGGAATAAATGCCATCAGGTAACCCTCCTGCTATTTGACTCTATCAACTTGAGAACTGTCTCTTCTCAGCAACGAGGCTTCTTACCTGGCTGAGGTATTTGGGCCCTTGTGGATTGTCAAGGTTTACAGCTATGAGTTCCAGGTGAGGATGGATAGCTCAATATCCCCAATATCCCAACCCCCTTCACACATAGCAACACACACATACATCCTATCAACCTCTACCCAAATGCTCAGATTCTAGCTGCTGTTACCTTTTATTGAGTACCCACAATATGCTAGGCACTGTGCTAGATACTTTACATACACAATCTCATTTAATTTAATCCTCACAACAACCCTGTGAGGTAGGTGTTTGCTCCATTTTACAAATGGAGAAATTGAGGTACAGAAGGTTAAACATCTTACCAAAGTTCCCATAGCCAGTCATATATTGGAGCTAGAATTTGAACCCAGGTGTGCCTCCACTTGTCACACCACACCAATCTTTTTAAAGAGGAGGAGTTTCCTATACTATTACCCAGACATTCTTTTTCCAAAACATGCTGGCTTTCATTTTACAGAAGCCCTCGCTCTGTTTCTGCTGCCCTGAAACAGTGGAGCCAGAGGAAGGTGAGTGTCAAATGAGGATCCATAAGTGTAGATTTCTGCAGAATGCCAAAGCGTGCAAATGCCTTCATGAAAGAGGCTGGGGGAAGGAAGAGGTGTTTGAGCAGCTCTGCTACCAGCAGTTCTTTCCTTTCTCCAGGGCCAAGCAGTGTGGCTGCCAGGCCAGCTGACCAAGAGACCTCTCCAGCTCCTCCAGTGCAAGTCCAGCAGCTTTCCTATAGCTATTCTGCCTTCCACTTCGTCTTCTTCCTTGCATCACTTTATGTCATGGTTACCCTCACCAACTGGTTCAGGTAGGATGGAGGGGGGCCTGGGATACTCTTCCAAAAACCTAGTTGTTTTAGGGAAAAGAGCACTTCAAGGCCAGTCCTGAGTTCTCCCGAGACACACATGAGTCTACCATATTCTTTGTTGGGGCAGTAGGATAGCTCTAAGCTCTGAAAGTCACAGCCCTGCAGATTCTCTAACCAGAGACTTTGGTTCCACAGCTATGAGGGAGCAGAGCTGGAAAAGACCTTCACCACAGGTAGCTGGGCTACCTTCTGGGTCAAGGTTGCCTCATGCTGGGCCTGTGTACTCCTCTATCTGGGGCTGCTACTAGCACCATTCTGTTGGTCCCCAACCCCAGACCCCCAGCATCCTATCTTCAGGCGACACTGTCATCGTGTCAGTATTGCCAAATGACAAATATCCAATCTAGGTACTTTTCATAAACTGGAATTCCCTTGAACTGGAGTTCCCAAGTCTTAACTCACAGGAGCTATCCAGCCCAACAGATTCCTCAAAGACACCATGGGAAGTTACCTCCCTTTAAGTTGAAGTCAGTAGTTACATCTGACTTGAAAAAAGTGGCCACACACACCCTAATACCCTGGGCAGAGTATCTGACTCACTGGAGCTACCGTTACTTCTTCAACCCAGCTGAAGAGCCTGTTTCCAAGTCAGCAGCTCAGGAATCACTGCTAACCCAGCAGACAGTGTGGCACCAGTTCATTCCTGGCTCTCATGGTAGAGATGGGGGCAGGGAAAGACCAAAGGAGACCAAAGACTTACTTGGCTTTGCCTTTGGTGATAAAAAGGAAAACAGAAGTCCACCCCTGAGTACAGGGATGTAAGAAGCCCAGAACCCTAGAACAAACCAGGACACAGGAAGAAAGGCGCACAGAGACTACCCTCAGTTTTAATCCTGATGTTGAGGTCAAAGGAAATGAGAAGACAAAATCTACCCTCATTCCATGAGGAATGACAGAAGAAAATGTGAACACTTGAGAGCAGCTAACCATGGGAACTCCGTCAACAGCAGGGTCTGGGCCAACTTTCAGGCATAGGAACAAAGTGAGGAAGAATGAGGAAGAGGGAGCATAAATTTAGGTCTTGCAGCCTTCCTTCTCAGGACCTCAACTCCATCCTTAGGATGATGTCTCAGGTCTGAGTGAGTGACAAAAATCACAAAAAAGAGGTCCCTACAGCTCTTAAGAGGATATCTCTACCACACACCCAATACTTGTCTGTCTGTTGCAGTACAATAAAGAATTTTTCTGTGATGTTTAAACTTAGCCTACATATCCACAACCTTTCAGAGTATGAAATTCCCTTCCCTTTTGGTGGGAAAGGGCAGCCATTCCTCCATCCCCATCCCCCCCAAATCCCCAGTCAAACCAGGCGCTCAAGGAATTACAAAGCTACTTTTAATACTTTGGGGTGAGCCCCACAGGAATAAAAAACACTGGGAGGGGGTAACCCCCTCACCCCCAGGAGTGGCCCAGGGGGAGAGAGGCTACCTGAGGGGAAGGAAGCACGAAAGGGACCCGCTGCAGACTCAGGGCAGAGGGAGTGCCATCGGTGCTGGGACCCGTGAGCACTACAGGAAACCGCGAGCGTGGTGGGACTGGCTCCAGGCACACAGGCGAAGGGCAAGAGGGCTGGACACGAAGCCACAAAGCTACTTGGGTTCCTCCTTCTTCTCGTTTGCCTTTTTCTGCTTCTGCTGCATGATCTCCGAATCCCTAGGGGTAGAGATGATGGGGCACTGGGAGGTACCAGAGGGCAAAAAGGACAAGATGCAGGGGGATGAAGGGCACAAAGGATAAGATGGAAGTGGATGGGACAAAATTCAGCATATGGCTGCTGTATTCCCACCCTAGGAGAACAAGAGGAAGAGAGCTGAGGCTCAAAAGGCAGTCAGTCTCTATCTGGCTGTTGCCCAAGGGGTAAGAAGTCTGGCCACACAGGCCCAAGGCTAATCTGTGCTGAGTACCACACCCCACCACACCAGTGAGAAGGTTGGGAGAAGGGAGGGCAAATGAACAGCAAGGAGGGCCAAAAGTACGGGGCTGTCATAACCACTACTGCATTTGAAATGTGAAACTCCCTGCCCTTGCCCTTCAGGTCAGACCCGGGGGCACTCAGAAACCAGACCGAGGGCAGCACCCGTCCCAGTCCCTTCCTGTAACGCTGTGAACTAACAATTTAGAGGGTGAGAGGAATAAAACCCTATTGGAAACAATGCACTCTGCCCCTCACGGCTAGTCCAGATGTAAGCTCAGAACTAACTTTTCCAGGTACAACCCTCGGTCTAAACCCAGGTCTCACCCCACCCTCCCCTCCCCTCCCTGGGGCTACCTCTGCTTGCGGGCGGCAGCAGAAAGCCCGTCATCTCGGCGCTTTCCCTTAACCGAGTCGCTCTGCTTTTTCATGTTCTTCTGGCGGGCGAGCTCGCGTTGGTTACCGCCTAGAGAAAAAAAAATAAAAAGGTGAGACGCGAGGGCCTTTCCGGCCGCACACCGGCGACCCTCTCCCCTCACCAGACACCAGTAGGCTCCCACACTTCATTCCCGGGCCGCCGACACCGGCCCGTTTCTGGGCCTGGGCTGCAGATTCGGCGGGGGAGGTGGGGGGGGGGGAGCTGCCACGGGGCAGGTCAAACTGAAGAGTGGACAGAGGACGGTTCTGAGGAGCCTGCTGGAGGCGTGTTTCGAATTTCGGCGCAGCATGAGGACCCAGACAGGTAGTGGCGGCGTCTGCAGACGGTCTGGGTCTCTGTGGGGGATGGGCAGGGATCCGGAGTAGGGGGCTCTGGGTCTATCAGAGGCGCGCAACTCTTCCCACACCGCGGAGAACCGAGGAGGGCCTTTGCCTGCCAAGGAGCCGGGAGGTTGGGGGGGAAGGTTCTCAAGAAGTAGCGGTGGGCAAAGGGTCGATTTCCGGGCTCCGAGTGTGAGGGTGGCTAAAGAGCGCTCCCAGAGAAAGGTCTCCCTGGGGAAGCCAAGAGGAGGTCAATGCCGAGGTTCGGCAGTCGTGTTCAGGGTAAAGGGGGAGAAAAGGGCAAGGAGAGAGGGTCTCAATGCTCACGGGTCATGGCGACGGCAACGGCTCCGGCCTGCCTCCGTTGCGTCCCCTCGTTCAGTACGACGTTACAGGCCCCGCCCCTTTCTCGCAGCGTAACGAAGTCGTCTTTTACTCCCCTCCCCTTCGCGCCCTGGTGCCGATTCCTATTGGTCAGGAAGAAACACATGTGGCCGCGGGCCACGCTGGAAGTCCGGCGGACGAGAAGGGGAGGTTCGCAGGCCAAGCGCGCTGCGTGGGGCGGGGCTTTCCGAGCAAGTCGTTAGGTCGGGTGGAGCGAAAGTAGGCCAGGTCACGTGACCAGGGTCGGCGAGGGGGAGGTGGAGGGGTGCGGCTGGCGATGTGGCACTCCCGCGGGCTCGGGCACGTGACTTGGCAGAGTGACCTCATACGGGGATGGTTTGAGACACAAACTCATCCAGAGGGAACGCTGGGGGAACAGAGTTGGGGAGGCTTCGCGGGGGCTGAGTTGGTCCGACTGGTGCTGTTACCAAGACTGAACAAAACGCCGGTATTACTTAGGATCCTTCCCAACCAACCATCTATTTGAACACTTGAGTGCACAAAATCATGTACCAGACAACTTAAAAAACTGCCTTCCAACATGTTCGCCCATCCCAAACTCCAATATAGAGATTCGCGGCCACATCCAGTATGTACAAAAATCTTGGCCCTGTTCATTTGCCCACAGAAGCTTTAAATATGTAGCTTGGCAGCATTTGAGGACCCCAAAGTCACAGACTGTGGCCTTGTATCAGGGACTCAGAGACTGGGAAATGCACATACTATGTTCATTTCTCCTTTGGCGTTTCCTCCGCTATACTGTATCTACCAGCAACACCTGGTTTTAATTGACAGTTGAATGGGGCTGGAAGCTTAGATTTCCCCCTCTCATTCCCAGATTCACTAATATGTCTACAAGACTCCCCACCAGTCGTGAGGAATTTACTGGATAAAGGAGAAGTGTGTTAGTTGCCCTGTCGTTTCCCGCTCTGTGACCCCACGGACTGGCGCTAGCAGGCTCTTCTGTCCATAGGATTCTTCAGGCAAGAGTACTGGAGTGGGTTGTCATTTCCTTCTCTGGATAAAGGAGAAATGCTTAGGAAATCTCACAGGAGAGGATTAGTTGTAAATTTCAACTTATCCTCTCCAGCTAGTGCCCACAGTAAAACCAAGATGAGGCTGGAACTACAAACTGTCTTCTCTCTCAACGTGAAACTGGGCCAGGGAGGGGCACAATAAACCTCATTCAGTATTATCCTCACAATTTTTGCCATACCCAGATATCACCTGAACTACTACTATTTATTACTTGAAACTTTCATATTTGGAGGGCGGAAGTTGTGCTGCCCTGCAGTGCTTATGGGGATTTCAGTTCCCTGACCAGGGATTGAACCTGGGCTGAAAGCACCAAATCCTACCACAAGACCTCCAGGGAACTCCTTGTATCAGTTTCAAATGCAGTCTATAATGCAAAATTCATATTTCTTTAGTAAATTAAAAAAAAAAAAACAGCGTCTGGTGATTCATCACTTCTGATGCTAAAAGACATAGTGACTTTTGCTTTCCTCTCTCTCTTGGATCACTGGCTCATGGAGAGCCAGCTGCTATTATCAGGAGGAGAGGCCCGTGGGGTGAAGAACTATGGTCACTGGCCAACAGTCAGAGGGTAGAGAAAGTACTTCCACTTTAACTCAGGATGGGAGTTGGAGTTGAGAGTTAGGGACTAAATTAGAGAAAATGGAGATCCAACGCTCTGAAGCAGAGAAGGAGGTGAGGTGGGATTTAAGGATACCACATATACAGTGAGTAGATGAGGAAACTGGACTTCAAGGATAGGGACAGCATCGCAGACCTAGAGCCACAGACAGACCACGGTTCACAAAAATAAGTTGGACTCCCTGCTTTCCTAGCCCCAGGTTCCCATGGTCCCCTTGCATTTAGAGAGACTGCAAAGCCAGCCCCATGGAGAAAGCCTAGCTAGCCAAGGATGAGTGAAATAGTGCAGGATGAGGAAGCAATTTCTCTCTTGGCACATGCTACCTCTTTATCAGCTCCAGCAGAGAGAGAGTAGAACAACCCTGTGACCAGTCTCCTCTTATTTAACTTACCCAACACTATCCCCTTGTTCGAGAGTCTGTTTCCAATCCTAACAAAACCTAGGCTGATTGCCACAACTCCTAATCTAACTTTTCCTGAAATTGCCAAAGAAGTCACTCATTCTTTGGACAAATATTCATTATGTTATGCACCAAGGATGTACCATCTATTGTATTAGTCACTAGGTTTACAGTGATGAACAAAACATATGTATCACCAGACTCATAGAACATATAGTA